TTCCACTTGCTACGCAGTTGTACTTTCTACCAGCTGTGAACATGGAAGATACAGAGGCTGATTTGTAGCCTGGTGGGACCTGATGGGTCTTTCCACTTACCAGGGAACTTCGCTTGTTTCCTTCTTCAGAGGCTGCTTAGATCAGAAGCTGTAGTTCTGGATGTTTCAAATCACCTTGAGAAATTAAAAAGCCTTTCTTTGCACAGACTATGGAGCTAATATGGGGAAACTTGGTGCACGGGTTGAAATACAGTTTGTGGATATCTCCATTTTAACTTCACTTTTTTTCCTGGTTTCATACCCTTTGAATACTGTGTCTGTGCTTACTGTTGAAATGAAGCTTCTTTTTGGTCAGGTGTGTAAGACTTTGAGACCAAGGCGACAAAGTTTCTGACTCTTCTGCAGACTGTAGTCACTTGCCGGAGAGGGCATCTTAAGTTCTATTTTTTGTTCTCATTACTATTTATGTTGTCCGACAGCCCTGCTCTGCAAAATACATGGGCAGCTCCAGAACAGTTTTTGAGAAGAAAATGGGTCTGTTCTAGGCAGAGAGAGGAAATTATATGGACTTTGTCAGTGAGTAGTAGACATGCCATCAAGGTACTCCTTAGCTAGGCACAATTTCATCCACGCTGAGAGTTCAGATTCATGACAGAGTTTTGGTTGTGGTGTTTTCCACCCATCATCTGAGCCACTCAGTATGTTTGGTTTGTTTTTTTTTTTTTTTGTTTAAGCCAAGACCGTTTGTAGATTATCCCTGCAGGAGGGATATAGCAGTCTAAGACCTGAGCAGTCCCCACATGCTTCTGCCCCTCTTTCTTCCCCTTCAGAAGTTAAAGTTCCAGAGCTGAGCTGGAAAAAGAGAATGTGTGGTATCCTTCATTTCATCTCTTTCGTGTCAGTGTCGTGCATGGTAATTTAAGTCACTGCTGATGGTGCTTTGAAGTTAACTCTGCAAACTTTGCACAGATGCAGATTAGGGAGGTCTCAAAAAATGTCATTCTGCCTGGTGAGTTCTAGGGCTTGATCACCTCCAGCCTGGGGGAAAAACTTTGCTATTGCTTCAGCTAGGCCTGAAAGTAAATGTCTTTCAGCTTCATTTAAACAATTCTAAGTGCAAATTTTGGTTCAGTTTTCTCAAATATAAGAGCGTTCACTAACATGTTGCAGATGTGGCAGCACACCTTTAGATTTGCATCTAGACAAAGCCTAAGTGCTTGTGCAGAGGCTAGTACAGCAAAGGGTTGATCTCAGTCAGAGCATCTATGCTATTATAATGTAAGAATAAAAAGAGCTAAAATGCCATGAGAATAATATAAAAGTAGACATATTTATGATCCTCTGACCACACAGATGCCAGATGTGCTGATTTTGGAAAACTCTTCAAAGAGAACTGGAATTCAGCTTATATACTTTTCATTCATAGGAAAATCAAGACTGTCTCTATATATTTTTCTGTGTATATAAAATAAATTTTGATGTATTTATATATTTGGGAATAGAACAGCTGTTTCTGCTTCTCCTTCATCTGCTTACTGAACTGTCACACATTCTTTTCATTGTTCTGGTGCTATAGCTTGGGTCACTGAATGAAAGTATGCTAGGGTCTTGGTAAATGATCACCCTACAGCTTTAGCTGTTTTCAGGGTTACCTGATGTATATATCAGACAGAATAATCATGTCATTGGTATCATTCCCTTTCTTGTTTTTCAGTGCTGAAACATTATTTCTTCTTTCCCCACACATGGAATCGTTTTTGGTTTTTAGTTCCAGATGCTTACAGATGAGCTTCCATGATCTGAGCCCAAAATCAGTGTCAGCTGGAATTTTAAAGATAGAGTTATTTTCAAACCTTGTTGGGTCATAAGTTCTTCTAGTATCCTTCCCCAACAGGCAGCTTTTTTGCTCATTTGGAGTCTTTTCTGCAGTTTTCTTTCTTCCTCAGGCATCCCGTTCTTGGCTTATTTTCCAGAAATAGCTGCCACCTCTTCTGTGGAGAAGATGAATTTTAATATCCCATGCCACCATCCTCTTTTCCAAGAGCTTTGAGTGCTTTTACTTTTTTTGTTTAATAGTTGATTGTACCATTAAGCTGTAATTAATATATTCTGTAATTGATATTCTTGTAACTGGTAATCTGTACTCACTTCTGCAAAGCATGCATAGTAACTTCTCTCTGAGGGTTGCTAGACATGCACTGGTGTCAGATATAAACTGGTTTATGAAGTTATTTCCACTTGATGACTGTGGCTTGCTTCTTTTTTTTTTTTCCAGTTGTGCTGATGCATCTGGTTTTAGAATTGAATCAGTGAATCACATTAATTGGGGGGGAAGTAATTTTAAAAGGGATCATCTCAGTGATGTAATTTACGTCGCAGCTATACAAATAGGTTTATCAGCACAATTGAGAAAGAGGCAGATTGCACCAGGAGGATCAGAATTAGCAGCTGGGGTAGAAAGCTTGTTGAGGGAAAATTGCTCAATTATTTAGAGGAGCTGAGCTGTTTCCTTTGTTTTCTGTTGTTAGAACTGCCTTCCTGCTCCACCTTTGCCCTCTTTCCTTGTTTTAGGCCAATTTTATTTTATTAAAAGTCTTTTGTCACGAAGTATTGAAAATGTTCATCTCGTGTGTGAAGGTGTTTAGTTTCCAGATTGTTGGGACAGTAAATTGACTTCTGCCTCCAGACGCAGTGATGACAGTGGCTCTCCTGAGTCTCCTCCACATTGTCTTTTCTAAAAATTTTGAAGGAAAATGTGCTTAGATCGAGCTAGTATTTATATGCTGAGGGTCAGAGCATTTCATTTGGGTTAGTTCTTTGTGGTGTGTGAGAGAAATAGCAGATAGCATTCTTCGCCATTAATTTGAAGACAAATTAGAGTGTTTCCTAAAGTTGTAGCTTTGGGTTCCTTCCCAAAGACAGGCGATGTGTCTGTGCTCTCTGTTAGGGTTGGGGTTTCACTCCTGCTGGTGTTGCACAGAGTCCTTTGAAGACTGACAATTGCCAGGTTTGTTTACCTGTGGAAGATCATTCACACGTCCTTGGTTTGACCACTTCAAAGGTGATAAAATAGGACGAATAGACATGCAATAAGAAAAACAAAGGAGTTCTGAACTATTTCCTCCAAAACGTAATGGCTCTGGGGAGAAAAATCCTTTCAGAAATCATCCTGTGAAGGTGCTAGCAAGCCTGCTGCAAGTACTTGAAAGGCATGAGTTATCCAAAGTGAAATACCATCTGTCTGTCATATGGCTAATCAGAGACAGCAATTCGTTCTGAGCTTTTTCCTTGGAAAGAGTCAGAAAAAAAGTAACCCAAATTTACTCTGAAGTTTTCTTAGCAAGTGCTATGTTTTACTTGCTGGGGAACATGAACTCTGAGAGTCTGGGTTTTCTGCTAATATTTTATTCCCAAAGAGCTAAATATACAAAGCAGGAAGCAAGCCCACTCTCAGAAAAAAAAAAAAAAAAAGCCATATGCACACTGTTTCCACACTTCAGAAGTTTAGCTCCAGTTTGGGGCTGCACTCTTCTTTTTGACTTCTTAATTTCCATTGAAAATTAGTTTCTTCCTAAAGGTTTTATTCTATTTGCCAGCAAGTGTTTTTAACCTTTTTTTTTATAGAATATACTATCAAGCATTTGAGAACTTTCTTTATTAAAGGTACCATGTTAAATCATTGTGTTTCTGAGATTAGTTTAATTTGTGTGCAGAATGTATTTTTTTTTTTTTTTAAACTGCTCTTCTGACATGAATATACTTAAGCTGCCCTTGAACTGGTCCTTACAAATGAAAAAAGTGTGATGGTGTTCCGTTTTGTGGCTTTTTTTTTGGTGGGTAGTTTTGTTTGTTTGTTTTTGTGGGTTGGTTGGGATATTTTTTCTTACTTTTTTTTGCTTACGGGAAATTGCTTATATACAGTTGTATCATTTTTGACCACAACATAGATAAATATGGGACGGAGGGGTCACATATCTCTGTAAAAAACAAGTGCTAACACAAGCACACAATACAAAAAGATAACCATACTTTGAGGAATATCAATATCTTAGCTTTTTTTTTTCTTCTAAAAAAAATGTACAGAGATATAAAACTTACTTATCTCCATTCAAAAAGCCAGTGTATTTTTTAAATGGAAATTGGGGCAAAGAAGTGTGAAAATGAACTGCTTCTGGCACTTGGAAGACTGTGACAAGTTCCTTTTTTGGTGGGCATTTAGATTAATCTATTTCTGTAGATGGAATCTGAAAAAAAAAAAAAAATTTGAAAGGCCACCAAGTTGCTTTGGAAACTGCCTAGGAGCATAGTCAGATGCCTGTTTGAAAAAGGGTTGCAGTGATGATGAGAAGTTACTCCTTCTCAGCTGTGGTACGTAACTGACTCCCCGCAGTACAAGATGAGATGGGTTCCTGTCTCATCCAGATAAGAGAACCATGGCCAGGATTCCTCTTATTCTTATTGGTGGTTGAATCACCATGCAGTCAAACTAATTAAAGTTGTCTTTGTCAAGAACTTCTAAAAGAGACAGATATCTAATGAACACACACAATTTGGTGAAATTATTTTAACACAATTTATATTTAAAGTATTAGGAAAGATTACAGACTCAGTTATTGATGCTTTGTGCAAAGGCTGAGACTTCCAGATGTGACATGGTTAAACTAATTTTACCTATATTTGCAAGGAAAATATGGTTTAGTATTTGCACGTTGCTCTGTCATTACTTACCAAATACTGCTGCAAGAGGAACTTTCTCTTTTTAAGGCACTTCTTCCAATAAAAGTGTTCTTGTATCCAGATAGTTCTGAACTCATTATGTTTGTATTGGCACAGGCCAGAAGAGGGGCAAGGCAAATAGAGCTTAGAGTTGAAATTCTCATTAAATCCAGTATTCTGTGTTGGGTTTGGACCTGCAGTAGCGCTGAACTGAATGAGGGCTGCGGGTGTGCTGATGTAAAGAATCTTGCACTTAATCATTTTCTAAAATGTGTTGTTTCCAGATCTACAGACAAGACTGTGAAACCTTTGGCATGGTAGTGAAGATGCTAATTGATAAAGATCCATCATTAGAGAAGTCCATTCAGTTTGCCCTGAGGCAGAATTTGCATGAAATAGGTGAGCGGTGCATTGAAGAACTCAAACATTTCATTGCTCAGTACGATGCTGCCAATCAAGATCTATCAGAATCCTTCAAAGAGGGCTCATACTAAGGACAAAGATACGCTTTTAGATCTTCTGCATTGTGTATGCCATAATACATAAATCTGCTTTTTGTGGGGAAAGAGGAGATCTTGTTGGAGATTTGAACCCAAGGCCTGCGCTCCTTCATAGTAGCTCGGGTGGCTGTATCTTGTTCACTGTGGTCTCCACAACTGTATTCTTCCTACCTGTACTTGTTGACATATACTCCTTTGAAAGGATTTCTTTTCAAAAACATTGTAAAGTGACAAACTATTTTTTAAAACTTTACACAGTTACCTAGGAAAAATTGTTCAGTACGATATATGTACACTTACATTTTTATGTTTACAAGTGTAACTTCAAACACTGTATTTTTTATTAAAATAACAAGAAGCAGCTCTTCATTCCTCAACTTATGCAGAAATATGTCTTGTTTTCATATACACTATAGGAAGGGAAGACTTGCAAAACTGGTCACAACCATGATTTTAATTATTTATTATAGTTTAAATGTCGGATTCATTCTGTAAAATTACGCTAGGGGTTATCTCCCATCTCTGACTGCCAGTGCAATTCTAACTGCTTGATATAAGAAGTGCTGTATTTTTTGCTCTAATTGCAGGTTCTACAAATGCCTTTTAAATTTTGTGTTTTCCATATCATGAGTCATTACTAGTAAGCAGTATTACATAGGATCAATTCTATTTTTTTTTTTTTTTGTACTATTTGTTCCCATTGTTATGTTTTTGACTGCACCTTACAGAGTTTAACTGCAGATAACCACTGAGCAGGGAAGGTCACTTCTACTCTCTCCCTCTACCCTCTTACACCTTCTCACCACTTTTCATCCATCAGTTTTAACAATTAGGAGGCCTTGTGTAGTCCTTATTTCTGACACCAAGAAGGAGCAGGAACTTGGGGTGGCAAGGTGGGGCAAGGAAAATGAGCATGACTGTCTGTTGTCACATCCAAGTTGCTTTGGATTAGGTGTAATGTGAAGTTAAACCCCAAGGCCCCAGATTCATCATCTTTTAAACCTAGATGATGCTGGGTAATTTGCATTCCCACTTTTGACCTGATAGAGTAACTTATAGTTGAGGAACAGTGGTTGAGGAGAGCCTAGAGGCTGCCAGTTCTGCATGATAACTTTTCAGAGATGGAAAATATTTACAGCTCATTGGCAGTATCCTGATGATTGGCTTGTGTACAGTGTTACATTTAATAAGGTACTGGTTTTGATTAATGTTACAGGAAAGGGGTAATTTGAATCATAATCACAAAGAGGTAAGAATAAGCATGATTGGGTGCATTTTGATTCAGAAATATGTAAAACTCCGTGAAAGGACTAATGACCAAAGCTCACTGTTTCCAAAGTGTACAGTATTTTTCAATGAAAAAGTCATGAAATTCAACCCAGTTTTCAAGGTAACTCAGATTTCATCAGAATGGTGTGCAGAAAAGTCCATGAAATGGCAATGACTTTGCATGTGCAAGGTGCTGTATATGTATCACCGCATCTTAACACATGCAAATCTTGATATGGTTTATTAAATAAGCATTACATTGGATTCCTCAGATGCCCGATTAGTTTTTATGTCAGTCAGGTGTGGTGTTGCAGTTGGCTTTTGTTGGTTTCTAGGAGTTCACGTTGCTCAAAGGAGATGACCTGCAACTTACCTTGTTGGCATCTGTGATTGTGTGGGCTGCACAGTGAGTGGGACTCGAGCTCATAGATCCTACAAGATGTTAATTTGGGGAGGGAGAAAGGGGAAGGAAGGCAACCAGTTGAGGCACAGTAGCTGGACCTGACTCACCCCTTCTGGCATGAACCTGGTTTACTGTGAAACCACAGGCAAAGTCTCTGAGGCCGAAGCGTAAGTACAGAGCTTCACTACTTGTCTGCAGGACCAAGAGCCTTCATAAGGTTACATCAGAGTTTTTGATTTGGTTAGAAATGTTAATGAAAAAAAATACTGAAATGTTTAATATATTTTTGATTAAAAATGTCCATTATTACTGTACAGTTTGTTAGGAGTCTCCTTTGTTAGAAGCCTGATTAAATTTACTATGATACAAGAATTTGATTTTTCAAGTGTTCTTCTGTAAAGTAAGACCTAAGTTCCAATCACAGAATCCTTGAGTTGTAAGGGACCCATAAGGATCAAGTCCAACTCTGCTCCTCCCAGGAGTACCTAAAACTAAACCATATGATCAAGAACATTGTCCAGATACTCCTTGAATTTTGCCAGGCTTGGGGCTGTGACCAGTTTCACCACCCTGAGGAGCCTGTGTCAGTGATCAACCACCCTCTCGGTGAAGAAACTTTTCCTAAAGTCCACTCCAAAGTTCCCCTGACACAGCTTCATTCCATTTCCTTGTGTCCTATCAATCACTGGTCACCAGAGAAGGGAGATCAGCACCTGGCAGTCTGCTGCCCCCCTTGAGGAAGCTGTGGAATATAATGAGGACACCCCCCAACCTTCTCATCTCCAAGATGCACAAACCAAGTGGCCTCAGTGGCTCCTCCTAAGCCTTGCCCTCAAGGTGTTGTATCATCTTGGTCACCTTCCTTTGAGCACAGTCTAATAGTCTGATGCTCTTCTTATATTGAGGCACCCCAAACTTCACAGAGTACTGGGGGTGGGGCTGCATCAGTGGAGTGTAGAGTGGGACAATTGCTTCCCTTTACCAGCCATTTATGCTGTGCTTGATGCACCCCAAGGACATGGTTAGCCCTCTTGGCTGCCAGGGTACACTGTTGGCTGATGTTCAACCTGCAGCAACCTAAACCCCCAGAAAAAAACTGGGGCCACTCTCCAGCTGCTCATCCCCTAATTCATATATATAACCAGGACTACCCTGTCCCAGGTGGCAACTCTGGCACTTGCTCATGTTCAATTTCACACGGTTGGTGATTGCCCACCTCTCTAGTTCATCCAGCTCTCTCTGCAAGGCCTCTCTACCCTTGAGGGAATCCACAGCTCTTCCTAGTTTAGTTAATCACCAGTAAACTTATTTAATATCTATAAAACTATTAATGAGCATTGGCCCTAAACCAGCCCTGGAGAACTACACTGGTGACTGGTCACCAGCCTGATGTAACCCCATTTACTGTAACTCTTTGAGCCTGACAAATCAGCCAATAATCTTGGGTTGTTTTTTTGGGTGTGGTTTTTTTTTTTTTTAGATTAGCTAATAGCTCTTTTTGTTTTTTTTTTTTTTTAGATTAGCTAATAGCTCAGAAAGATTTTTTCAGTGTATTGGTTGGCCTTAGCTTAATCTGACTTCCCCTTTTAAATGAATTAAATTTTACTCATTAACTAAGGAGCCATTTGACTTTTTATAAGTGCTGTTTCTGTGAAAGGTTTAATTCACATTCATGAGTGATAAGTAATTGGTTTTCCATCTAATACTTGTCATTTTGTTGAATGTTCACATTTAACCTTTTGTGATGTATGCTTTCTGTTGATGTAAGTGAAATATGCCAATCACTTAACTTAAGCAAGAAACATGGCTTTTAGTCTTGCTATAATGAGCAATAAAACCACTACAGACATGAAAGGAGCTAATGCCATGTATCAGAGAAGAACCCGTTCCTTGAAACCCTGTTTTCTGTGCAAGGTTTTTCCTTCTGATGAGAATATGAAGTATTGCCCTAGTGTTTCTCACTATGGTGGAGGTCGTACTGGGTTTGGCTGGGATAGAGTTAACCTTTTTAATAGCTGGAATGGTGGTGCTGTGCTTTGGCTTTGTGATGAAAAGAGCCTGGTAAGACACAGATGGTTTAGCTGTTGCTGAGCGGTGTTTACAGAGTCAGACCTTGTCTGCTCCTCCACCACACCTGCCAGTGAGCAGTCTGGGGGTGCACAACAAGTTGGGAGAGGACACAGCTGGGACAGCTGACCCAACAGACCAAAAGGATATCCTAGACCACATGATGTCATGCTCAGCACTAACAACATTTTGAGGGGAGGGGGATGGCAGTTCAGTGGGGCTGATCTGGCTCAGAGACTGGCTATTGGGTAGAGACTGGGTAGCTGTTGGCTATTGGAAAGCAACTTGGGGTTTCGGGGGGTTTATTTGTTTTGTGTTTGTGTGGTTTTTTTTTTTTTTTACTTATTAAATTGTCTTTATCTCAACCTCTGTGTTTTCTTAATTTTAACCTTATGATTCTCTCCCTCATCCCACTAGAATTAGTGGCTGAGCTTCGTGTGTGACACTTAGGTGCTTACCACGGTGTAAGCTCCACTCTGAACATTGGTGCTTCTTTTAGTAACACAAAACAGAACTTACAGCTTTGGTGACTGTATCCAAGTTTTGTGCTGGTGGCAGACACTAGATCCTGGGGAAGAATAAGTTAGAAACATTGCTATAAGAAGTGACGGAAAAGAATGAAATAGAAATCTTTTATGTCAAGCTGAAAAAAAATGAACAAAGTTGCACAGCCATCGTTAAACTTAGATGTATAATTTTTAAAGTGAAAAAAAAAAAAAATCCAGGTTAGCCTCTTTTTCCTGAAGCATGCTTCCAAGTACCTGGTTCTTCCCCTGACATGAATGTCTCTCAACAGTCTGTTCCTCAGCAAAACAAAGCTTTCTAAATGTTTTCAAATGCTGTTAATTGTCCAGCATAGGTTAAGGGGTCTCCTTCTCTATGTGTCCCAGAGCAGAGGTACCTAAGCCAGCTCTGAGTAAGCTGCTCGGCCACTGGAAGGCAACAACACTGGAGCACTGCTCCCCTAGGCATGGTGCTGTGCAGCTGGACCTTCCTTGGATGAGTCTGGTCTTGAGGGAAAGCAGGTTGGAGCCTTGGGCTCTACCATTTGGCTGCTAGGAAAGCAGATGCTGCCTGAGCCACGGCAGCAGGCTGGCAGCTGGAAGCACCCCCCTGAGCCACCCATTGGCCCATGTGATGTAGCATGCTATTACTTTGATCAGCTTTCATCTACACCAGACTTGTTTGTACTAGAAAAGTGACTTACATGGTGAACAGCACCGCTGGGAGTAAAGGATCTTTTGCTTACTTCGCC